GGTGTAGGCATGGATTCCACTAATATTAGGGTCAGGGTCAGGGTTAATTGTATGTTAAATTCTATGTTATTGAATGGTGCATAAGATGCGCAAGGATATCTTGTCTCGAGGCAAGATGTAAAAATCGACGAAATACGACGAAAAAAATGTCTAAAACGTACGAAATTACGCTGCATAACTTTTCGCATGATTTCATACAAACTGATAATGAGAATACACTGATATATGGCCAAATCAATATTTTGGGGACCAAATGACACCAAATATACTTGACTGTTTGTTTACTTGCCACTCTTTGCTATTTACATTAGCAGCCATTCAAAATCTCCCCACTTTCCTTAATGGGTCCTTGGCTGGTTCCCTACAATTCCTTTTAAACATCAATCTTTGTACTAAAATATTCTTTCTGTCATGATTTGTTGTGGACATTAAGATCTAAAGAGAAGCATCATCTCCTGGTCAGACCCTATAATTCAGTGAAAAGGTGGAGTCAAAGTTAAAAAAATATGCACGCCCAGGAGAAGGCCAGTGGCTGGAAGTTAGAGGGGATTTTGCTTTTAGTCGCAGGGAAAAGGGCTGCCATTCAGCTGGCGTTTGACTGGGAAGGGCCATTTTGAAAGGCTGCTACTGTACATCCAAGGATTGATTTAATCTCTGCAGAGGAACTTCATCTCTTTCTTTAGCAGCATAAAAATAAAAGATGACCTTCAGTTTTGAACTTCATGGCATGAAAACTCAGATTATTTGAAAAGAGAGACCCTAAGGGCTTATAAGTTTTTATATATGTATGTGTGGAAGGTATGTGAGCACAAGTGTAGTATGTATCCCCACTTTGTATTGAAGCTGCCATCCTTAGATGTACAGCCGTGTTTTTTTTCTTGTTTTGCAACTTCTAACACTTTAACAGGCTGTCCATACTTATATTTCCTGCTATTTATTTCAATATCCCTCCCACAACAAACAGGCTAGGGTGATGAGATAATCGAGTAAGACACCGCCATTATGTCAACAGTCAAACATTAAGTGTCTTCATTAAAGAGTTAGGGGACACGAACCAGGGCCCCGGTGGGTCTCCGACAGACCTAATGATGTGATAATGGGATAGCATAATGGCCCATCTCAGCGGAAAAGATTCCTCTTCTCTGAATGCCTGTAGAAACCTCCCAGATACACATGTGCTGCAAACACCCACACATAAACATACAGAGTCGCTTTATGTGTCGATGGTTCCGCCCACCTGGATGACACATGAATGTCAGATCAAGTGCACTCATATAGGAGAGTTAATCATAATTAGAGAGATGAAGTACCCGCTAAGCTTTCTTAATTGAAAACAAATGAGACTGTGTCTCTTTGCTGATGACTAGAGAAATGCCCTAATACACTTGGGTTTTACGATGAGAACAGAAACTATGAAAAGTTGCCTCCAGTATTCATTTGTCAGCGGTCAATGCATGAGACAAAACGTTTACTCCGCTGGAATGTTTCTTTATTGGGTTAAAAACCACAAACCTTAATGCATTGAAATGTGATTAAATGCAGAATACCAACACAAAGTGGGGGAATTACTGCAAAGCGGAAGACGTTTTCCCTAATGATACAAATCTAAACAGTGTGGGCTTTTACGTTATTCCCCGACACTTAGAAACACCTAAACATTAGCGTCAAAGGTAATGACAAAGTTATTAACATCAGACAGGAGCTGGAGGTGCTGGTGGAGAAGATTAAACCTGTGCAGCCTGGGAAAAAAATGAAGATAAACTCAATTTATTTGTAATTTAAAGAAATGTAAAAAAAGATGGCAATAAATGGGTCTGTTTTTGGGGAGGAGTTTCACACCTTCCCTCTTAGTTAAGTTGGCTGCAGGGGTAACTGCTGGAGGAGCTGTAGAAATCTGTAGCTCAGGACAATCAAAACAACGAGACAATCTTATGGAGGGTGGAGTGGAGAAAAAAGATTTAAAGTGTCAATTTGCAACATACCAAGAGCATTTGAGGATAAAACTGACATGCACTGCAAAAACCATCTAGAATTAAGTAATACAATTCTTAAATTGAGTGTACTTGCCCTTAATTTGAGTAGATAAATAAGATGATTTGCCAATGGAATTAATATTTTTACTCCTAAAACAAGAGAATTATATAAAATGCACTTGAAATAAGACAAAGCAATTTTTTTTTCTTATTTTAAATGTAAATTGTCTTGTTCCATTATCTCAATTACCTCCTCAATTCAAGAAGAAATGCACTTAATTTAAGCAAAAATTACTCATTTAGATTTCCATTTTTTGCATTGTGTAAGGAGCTCTGCTCTAGATCCAGACATGAACACATCATATAAATATGTCAGATTTAGCCAGAGAAACTAATTTTCATCTATAGTATCCTGGGAGGCTGATGGATAAAAACAATAAAAAAAAAAAAACTATAGTTAACTTGTTTAATGAAAAAAATAATAACTTCTAACAATGTATGACTAAAAGTTGTATAATTTACAGTTAACGTTTATTATAAAAGTGAGTCATCTAGATCGGATCGAAACAGTTGTTTTAAAAATTATTTAAAACATGATGTAATTGCTTGCAATATTTCTCAATTTCAATGGTTTTTGTATTCAAAGGCCAGAAAATGAAAACTGACTGGCAAAAAAAAAAAAATCTAAAGGTTATTTTACAACCTTATAGTTGGGGACATGGAATGGAAAACAAACAAAAAAAACAAGATAAAATAAAATATATTTTCTTGTGTAACCTGTGCCCAAAAATACATCAGGACCTGATTTTTTATTTACATGTTGTTCTGAAATAAGATAATAGAGACATCTGGCAACCAACATGATATGCCACACCAAACTAGTACTATACCACAATTAGCATAAAAGAAATTTAAAAAACAGCTGCCTGAAATACTCTCTGAATTAGACAAAGAATCTAAAAAACAATTTATTTTACCAGATAACGCTTGGATCATAACTAAACTTTTTTATGGAGGATAAAAAGTGCCAAAATTAAATAAATAAATACAGCCTTAAATAAATAATTAAATGTGTCAATAATTAATTAAATGTGGAATTAAATAAATAAATGTGTCATTCATTAATTAAAACCACGTCACTAATATATAATGCCACAATTAAATAAATAAATACAGCGATAAACAATTAATTAAATGTGTAATTCATTAAATAAATAAGGAATTTAATATATAAATGTGTCATTAATTTAATAAAATACGTCTTCATTTTATGAAAAAAATATATATAATTATTTCAGTATTCATTTAATTATTTCATGGTCCTGTGTCGCAGTGCTTCGAAACCATGAAAAATAATCTGTCAAACTCACCCATCAAAGTTAGGGGGCGGTTATCTAACACCTGATTGGTCACCCTGCACATTAAGGCGAATCAAATCGATTACAGGGTGGAAATTGTGGTAAGGGTGAAAATTAGAACTGAAAATCACCAAAACATCCACCTGTAAAACACATCGTTGGAAGTATGATGCTGTGGGAATGTTTTTTTTTTCTGCAGCAGTTAAAAGTTAATGAATTTAAGCAAAAGTTCAAAGCTAGATTGGAATGGGTAAAGGAAAAGCCTCTTCTGTGGTGAACTTGCCTTGTCAAAGTTCAGACCTAAATCAAAAATGTGAGCAAAGACCTAAAAAAGTCAAGGATTCCCACACTAGCTAACTAAACTGAAGATTTAAGAAGGTAATTGGAAAAAATTATTGCCTCTGAGTATCTGAATACAAACACTCGCCACGTGTTATCAGTTTTTTTTAATAAACACAAAGAAAGGAGTCCGACTTCTTCTTCCACTTTACAATTATGCGCTACTTAGTGTTGGTCAATCACAGAAAATCCAATTAACATATATTAAGGTTGTAATTTCGTTGAAGCTGCAGGGGAACGAAAAAACCTTGGCAGTCTCCAGCGTGCATACACAATGATAGCGTCCACTTGCTTAAGGAACCTTGTAGCTCTCTAATTTCAGAGGTTCATATCCTGAGTCGATATTTCACTGCGAGATGCATGCATTAGTGGCATATTTCTTTCATAAACAGACACACTCCCTATTTCCTTAAAGCGATTGATTAATCCATAAAAAAGCTCTTTGGCTTCTCTCATCCTTCTCCTTTGAGTAATTACCTCATAACTCCTATGTCCAACCCACATCCTTACAAAAATGCCCATTATATGACTCATAATGGGGTAGCCATTGCAGACAGTTCAGGTGGCATCATGGAAAACCCCCCCGAGGAAGCCATGCATGCAAAAAATGAAATCGTATATGCTGCCATCATCTGGGGAAACTGCAGGGAGAAAAACTCCACCTGTCACACTGCCTAAACTCCTCCTCTGCACCACACATCCCGGGAACACATTAGTATTGGGCCCTGGCTAAATGGTTGACCCCATCCTCCCTTTATCCATCTATCCATCCAGATAAATGGTAATGACTACAGAGAAGAACAGCCCCTGATGAATTAAACATTTCCTTCCAATAAGGATCTCATTTTCCATCTTTTGGATGGCGGTGAGATGACATTTTTTCTGCTGGCAGAGGTACTTTATCATTGTGCAGCTCAGGTGCATCAGAGGTCAATGACACAGAGCCAGCCCTGTTCTAATATATTCCATCTCAGGGCAAATCAGATGCATTTTACTGTGAACTGCTCATCTTGGGGTCAAATCGCGCCTGCCCCTGCAATCTATTTGACTGCAAGATTCAGGCTGTCTATCTGGGAACGAGGTACGTGCCCGGCTCTATAATGGTAGCAGTGACTGTAAGCCAGAGTCCAATCTCCCTAAAGTGTTACCCGGGAAATCCCCTGTTCCTAAATCTCTTTTATGCAACGTCTGCATATGACTGTTTTATTTTCAAGCTACAAACATGAACTGACTTATATCTTTTATCTTTTTCTCCTCATTTTCTCTCGGCCTCTCCTCTCCTGTCTTATTTCTTCTTCTGTCCCTGCTCCGACGTCCGCGGCATCATCAGGTCGCCAGCTGACCATCTTCAACAGCCAGGCGTTCATTAAAGTCGGTGGTGGAGAGAAGGGGCGCCACTTCCAAGGCCAGATGTCAGGCCTGTACTACAACGGCCTGCAGGTGTTCAAACTGGCAGCCGAGGGCGACCCCAGCGTCCAGACCCAGGGCAACCTGAGGCTGGTGGGCGACGTGCCCTCGGTGCTCACTACCGACACCACCTCCACCACCCCGCTGGCTGATATGTCCACCACCATCATGGAGACCACAACCACTATGGCTACAACCACCACCCGCAAGGGGCGCTCGCCCACCATGAGGGACAGTGTCACACAGGTAAGCGTGAGCATGAGGGATCTCGATGACATCATCTTGAAAATGTGAAAACTGTTATTTGTTAAAATAATTTCCCCCTGTAGCGACTCACTCAGAGAAAAGCCGCAATTAGAAAATAATTCAATTTATTTATACAGGTAACACATTCATATTCTTCAAAATATTTCTATCTAAGGAAAACCCGCTGTTTGTGAGGACTCATTGACTCTCTGCAATCCCTCAAACCAACCATGCATGTGGCAACAGTGGAGAGGAAAACTCCCTTTTAACAGGGAAAAAAACAACAACAGAACCAGGGTCAGAGTGAGCAGCCATCTATCTACCAAGGCTGTCAGGGGTTCAAGGAAATGAAAGCAGATAAAGACACTAATGAGTTATTTGATGCTTACGCCCCAGTCGAAGACTTTGGGCCGGATTTATCAAGATCCAATTTTGCGTGCAGTAATTTGCGCTCGCAAACTGGAATTTTGCGCGAGGGGCTGAACCATGGTTTGCGGTGATTGAACAAGAGTGATTGCGTAACTGGTGGCAGGTGCAAAACTGTTGGAGACCCCTATTTAAATGATGGTTTTGCGCGTTTCGTGGTTTGCGGCAAAGTAGTTTGTAGTTTGTACAAACTAGTGCTAGTGACTAGTGACACTAGTGTACAAACTAGTGCATTAAGAAATTTAAATCTTACAGTGATCCCCAACAAAAAAAAAAAAAAAATATATATATATATATATATATATATATATATATATATATATATATATATATATATATATATATATATATATATACAAAGAAAAAACTTTGGCAACCTTTATTCCCTAAGGTGGTATGTGGCTGAATTTCTACTTCACCGCAGTAAAAAACAAAAACAAAAAAAACCCCGGGGTTTTGTACTGGCCTGTAGAAAAATGCACATACCAAATGGCTCACAAGAAGTGACTGTGGATGAGATTACTGCACGTACGCATCCCTGCAGCATTGGCATGTTGCTCCACAGGCGCAGGGGGAGAACCCCGACCCCGTCGGACAGCACTTCGGACAGCACTTAAAAAACTAGATTGGGAGATCCCAGCTCTCGCTGCAACCGTACACTGGAATGACCCAGATGCAAAAAAGTGCAATGTTGCAAGGAGTTTTGTGATATCTGGTATTGCGTGGGTCCTCCTTGTGGCTGGCTCCAAATCCATTCGGAGTTCCCCCAACAGCTCCAAAATGGCAATGCTGGATAAACGATATGTTTTGATGATCGTTTCCTCCTTCATTGCAAAAATATTCACACGGAGTGAAGAAAATGCGTTCTCTGCGTCTCCTTTGCTTCATTTCCATGTCTCCTCTTGCGACAATAACCGCTGCCATGTGTGCGCAATTACGCATACAGACCATTCGCACCTTCTTTTGAAACATGTTAAATATAGAGTCAGATACCATTAGCAAAATTGCTTTCAGGTTTGATAAATCACTTTGCGAGTGCTAAATTAATATATTTACATGTTCTCCTCCCACAAGACGCACTTTTGCGTGTAAACGCCCCATATTGCATATTCATTGCAGAAAAAGTACTAAATGGATAAGAGGCGCTATTTAGCACGTTTTAAAGACCAAATCCTTTTAGCACGCTGTTGATAGATCAGTTTGTACATTTTTTAGCGTGCGCAGTGAAATAGCTCACATTTTTATACACGCAAACCTTTGATAGATCCGGCCCTATGATGCTGTGAATGTATGTAGGCTTGGTTGAGTAACCTAGAAAAGGTTTAGAGTAGTTTTCTCTCAGGGCTCGGACACTGGTGGTGGAATAAACCAGAGGGGGAGTGGGACTAAGAATATTCTGAGATTGAGGGAGGAGATGGGGTAAAAGTGGGTGACGGGTTCGCTTGCGCATGGGAAAGAGAAGCTAGGCCAGGAGCTAAATGAAGGGGGTGTTGAAAGATGATTGGTTTTGGAGCAGGTGTCGCCCTGAGTTGACTGAATGGAGCTGAATGAGGGACATTGTAGGTGGTTCAGCTGCTGCTGATAAGAGTCTTCCAGGTTTCATTTTTGCTTTAGCTTCATTTAAAACACCATAAAACTCCCCTTATTTCTTTCTGAGCAGGAATAGTTTTCCCTGGTTTCTCTTCTTTGGTCCCACTGTTTCCTTTCAAATCTAAAAAGAACAAAAGCTTAAATTGTTTTATATTTTTTTAACCACTCCCAGGATGGTGGTCCTGTATATCTTTGTCTTCTCCATTAATGACAATATTGCCTCCTCTTCGCATAAGCTGTGTTTTTATCTTGGAAACCATGCAGCTCATGTAAATTAAGATACTATAAAACTTAAATTAAAGAAAAAGGAGTAATGTTCTTGGAGAAAGTTACTATTTCATGTCCTAAACTTGTTCCTACTGGTGCAGAATCCTTCTTTGTTGATGTTGGCATCACCAGAAGGGAACATTCATATATTTTGGACCTATCAAGTTAATTTAAAAAAAAAAAGCTTTTATTTATAGATCATATTTTTTTTCTCAGTCAAATACATAGTTTTGTTCTGCATCCCTTTAAACATTCTGTGGATATATTAATTTAGAAAGTTGTAGCTACAGCAGAAACTATTCAAAATTTCCCACTTTCCTTGATGGGCCCTTGACTGATTCTGGGCTGGTTCCCTACAATTCCTTTTTAAACATCAATCTTTGTAGTAAAATATTCTTCCTGTTAAGATATGTAGACATTAAGATCTAAAGAGAAGCGTCATCTCTAGGGGTGTAAATCACATCCATCATGGCGATTCTATTCAGTATCGATTTCCTGACCCAATGATTCGATTATTTTCGATACTCAAGAATACACCACGATAGGCTCTAAGCACAACTCCACCACTTCCTGAACTTCAGGAGGCTCCTTTGCTTCCTGTCTTTCATGATTGGATGCACTGATTAATCCAAGTGTGTATGACCTAAGTAACTGGCCAGACACACCTGGATTAATCAGTTTGTCCAGTAATGAAAGACAGGAAACAAAGGAGCTACCTCAAATTCAGAAAGTAGTGGAGCTGTGAATAGAGCCCATTCGATTCGATTCGATTAATCGGTTAATTTTTTATTTATTTTTTTTTTTTTACACCTTACAGGCTAAACAAAGTTTCAAGTTTGAAATAAATCAATGAAAGCTGTAATATCGTTATGCATTTTTTTTTAGAAACAACAACAAATAACAGAAGTAGAAAAGTTGCATCAAAAAATACTGCAAAAATACTGCAGAAAATCAGTGCAATGAGTGCAATGCAATACCTTGGCTCCAGACGTCCCGCCCCCTCCACAGACGCTCCGCTTCACCTCTCCCAAATTGTAGCTGACCGCAGACAGTGCCGCAGACAGGAGGCCGGCTTGTTTTGTTTTTATGACCGAAATTGTGGAAAACAACTCGTGAAGTTTGACCCGCTAGAAGAGCGAGGTGCACGAGAACGCTGGGACCCTTTTTCCACCTGGATCTCTGCCCTTTTTGGCCCTCATGTCCCTCCGTTGTCGGACTAAACTCGCCCCCACTTCCTCGCCGCCTCGGCCGTATCTAGACCCACAGTGTGTAGCACAGACCACGCTGCAATATTGAGCATAAATCAAAAATGTCTGCATCAAGCTCACTGCAACACACTGCTGTAAGAGTATAACCAGGAAGCGAAGTAGGAGAGCACAATATATTTAGCGCCACCGCAGCACGGGAGGGAGAATTACGCCCAGGAGCAAATGGATAAAAATAGACCGGAGGAAGAAAAAAAACATGAATTGATTCTCTTGTGGACGTATCGATGCATCGGATCGTCGGCTGTTGGATCGATGCATCAATACAAAACGATTATTATTTACACCCCTAGTCATCTCCTGGTCAGACCCTGTAATTCATTGAAAGGATGGAGTCAGAGTAAAGAAATATGCACGCCCAGGAGAAGGCCAGTGGCTGGAAGTTGGAGGGGATTTTGCGGGGAGGTGCAGGGAATTCGGCTGCCATTCGCCTGGCTTTTGACCGTGAAGGACCATCTTGAATGGCTGCTACTGTACCTTCATTTTGCAGATACTTTATTTCCACAACATTGAACAGCCAGGTCAACCGACCATCAGGTTTCATTTTTTAGCCCTCAGATGCTTAACAGAGTCAAAACACAGCCTTTTTATTGCAAATTCTTCATTTCCTCAAAAGAGATGGAGGATGCTGGGAAGCAGGAAATTGCAACACATAACCAAATAACAAAGACTGGATGGTTTGGGGGAAAGGGCATGGAGAACAACAGCAAGAGGATATACTTGGCTGTGGCGCTTCCTGAAATGTTTAACACACTGAAACTAAACGCCATAATTTCAGGTTTTGAATCTACTATTGTGGGAAACCTGCCTGTAGAAATCATAAAGACTAAAGTAAACCTACTCATATCTTGGTTTATTATGTGATTTTTAATGTTACGTCTCTGGCTGTGCATAATGGGATGAAATTATAAAATAATGCTACTACAATTGATGGCGAGTGGGGTGAGCACCCCTGGCCACCCCCGGGTGGCGCCACTGATACTCGGTACCATGGACAATGATGAACTAGAGTGCAGTGAAGACATTTGCTTTGCATGTAAGCGAGAGGCTGTCATGTACGGTCTGATGATTACCAACATTTGCTGAAGTTAGGATCATGGTAAGCAACAATTAGCAAACAGTAGGGACAAGCTGTTGCCCACATGCAGGATGATGGAAGAGCTGAGAGATTCAGGCCCTGCGCTCTCAGGAGAAGACATAATGACAGGATCCATTTGTTCCAAGGGGAAATATGTTCCACTTGACATCCACCATCATTAGCTACAAGCTGTGTGTTAAACAAAACCAGGAAGTGCTGCAAGCTTCATGCTTGTATCCTGAAGGAGCTCAGCTCTGTCTGTTATTTTCTGCTTTTTCTGAAGGTTTTCTACTTTTTGTCTTTTAAGCCAACGATTGTTCAGGAGCTGCTAGAAATAACAAAGACCTGTCTGAAATTTGCAGCAGATTGCACTC